GACATGAAAGGATGGAGGGAGGAGGAAGAGGGCAAATTTAAGTACTTTACGATTGTATCTAAAATATTTCAAAAATTTTAAAATGTTTACAATGTGCACTATAAAAGCATCACCTTCTAAATTAGCTAATACTGAACTACATGCTCTTTTTGAGCTAAAGTTTTTTGTTACAAATATTTTCTGAATTCCCACATGCAGCCAGTGTGTCAGGCACTTTGGGTGGCCCAGTTTCTCACTGAGCTTACAATGCAGTGGCAGACAAGCCCACAGTACGTGAAAAGTTAAATAACTTAGGAGTTAATGAGTTGAGTTGATTATAAAACACGGGTGCAAAGTAGCGTGTGGCTATTTGCCAAAAGAATGGTACAGACAGTGGCTGCAGAAGAAGCTCAGGAAAGGAAGGTCCCCGTGAACAGAATGACATTTAAGGCTCCAGGGCTGAGGAGGGAAACTGGGTAAGCTCAAATACAAAAGGAGTTAGGCAGGCATGTAAAGCATTATCTGCTCAAGCCTGAAATGATTTTGTAGGTGAATCAACATGGGTGGTAGCAGGAATGTTCTGAGCATTCCTGTAAAAATATGCACAGAAACCTGAAGCGTCCAGACCCATGAGCCGATGCTGGTTAAGTACCAGTCTTCACCCATTATTTGAATCAGATAAATGAATCTTCCCCTCGGACTAGTTTTGCTTCACCCTTAGAAGCTAATTCAAATCATCTGGCTAAAAAGTAAGACATTAAGTTGCTGAGTATTATGTGGACAACAAAGCCAGGTGATTAAATGATCTTTTCATTTCTTTCAGAACTTAAAAAAACAAAACAAAAAAACTAGTGTGGACATATTTTTATTTATTTATTTATTTATTTATTTATTAAAAATTTTTTAAATGTTTTTATTTATTTTTGAGACAGAGCATGAGCAGGGGAGGGGCAGAGAGAGAGGGAGACACAAAATCTGAAGCAGGCTCCAGACTCTGAGCTGTCAGCACAGAGCCTGACACGGGGCTCAAACTCATGGACTAGGAGATCATGACCTGAGCTGAAGTTGGACACTTAACCGACTAAGCCACCCAGGCGCCCCTAGATATATTTATTTTTAAAAGAGAATTCCTTTGATAATATTAAAGGGAGTTAGCCTCAATACCCGTAGGATAAGAACCAAAATTCTATTACTCTCTGTTCTTCCTTGAATACAGTATGCAAATAAATATTTATAAAATTAATGTTGAATTAGCCACATTAGTTTTCAGTCATAATAACAAAAAAATGTAGAGTTTTTTTTAAATAGGGCTTCTTTTTTTAAATAGGGTGTTTCCTTTAAACTCTTCGGGACCAAGTGTCTCCTCCTGCTCTAACATGATTGCAGGGATAAGGCTATTAACCCCTCACCGTGAGGCCAAAGCCCCCACTACATGAACCTAGGTTTCGCATCCTTAGATGTGGCTTTGGTGGGATCGGAGCCGGTAATCGAAAAGACCCGCTGAGTTGTTAAAGATGACAGGGCTGGACGTGGGGAAGGGAGTGGGGAGCTGAGAGGGCGTGGTGGCAGGTGGGTACCGTCGCCCGGAATGAGAAAGGAGGGGAAGGGAATGTGTACAGAGATTCAGGCTTCATTTGTTGTCCTGTTTGCACCACTTCATGCTGGCATATTGCCCAGATACGCAAGTGGGCACGCAGGCTTTAAAGTGGAGGGGGAGAAGGTTTATTCAAGGCCCCGTAAATACAGTGGGTGGGTTTTTAGAAGATTTGAGGGCAGGGGGCAAAGAGAGTATGAAAAAAGAAGTGCTTCTCTACGGGAGGAATCTAGAAAGGTACGAATATTTTTGACAGAAGTAAACTTACTTTGCTTTGTGTCCTTCGGCCTTTGGCTTGTAAGGAAGGGAAACCAGCTCTTTCTGAAAACAAAAACAAAACAGAAGTCAGAAAGGAACATTTTTAATTCTTGCGCTGACTGAAATTTCCTTACTTGAAAAAAAAAAATCTGAGGGAGAATTACCATGGAGTTTACACAGACTAGCTTCTTAAATCTGGAGACTGTGAGGTTAGAAATGTTCCAGATTAAGAGAGTTAGGGTTCATTCACGAGAGCAGGTGTTTGTACACCCGTAAGTTTAGGGGGTGCTCTTATTGTTTTCCTATTTTTATTATGTTTCTCTTCATTTAGCATTTGTTTTGGTATGATCTAAGCAAGACCGATCACTGGAAAACAAAGATCAGCACTGCGGGGGCCCATGGGAATATCCTATAGCCTTATAATGCGTGATGGCAGACCCACTGACCATATCACCTTGCTTCTATGCCAGCAGACCTGCGTTCTCTGGAGATGGCAAAACTACCTGATGTCTATATCCTGCCCTCACTCCAGTAGATAGAAGGCTCTGGGCCGTGAGTATCTACATATCTGGGGACAATCTATAAACCTCTGGGAATGTGCCATAATTCGCCCCTCCAGATCAATGTATCCGAGAGCCTATCGATCTCACCGAGATCCTTTCTTCTCTTTGTTTTCTTAAGACTTGGAGAATCTCATCTCTCCTTTTAGCCTGTTTAAAGGAAAAAAAAAAGTGAGTGAGTCTTTGACTCAATAATAAAGGTTTTGTCTGTGAAGGATGGATATCATTGCATTTGCCTTCCGGTGTTCTTTGGAAGAATTTAAAAGTATTTAATTTCCATGATAGATTTATACTTTTCATGTGTAACACAGTTTATTCCAGAAGATGCTACTTTACAAAATAATATGATTTTCATACTAAATGGAAGGGTTTTTTTTTTGTGCCCATCTAATAATCTAATGATAACCTTTATTAAGACTTTGCTACACAAACTATGCTGAGAACTTCATGTACATAATGCCATTATTTTCTTGTAATAACCCAGAAGTTCGTCACTACTGTTACCCCACTTGATAAAGGAGGTAACAAGGTTTAGTAAGGTTCAATAACTTACCCAAGCCACGAAATGGCAGATCTGGAGTCAGTCCCAGCTCTATTTGACAACAAAGCCCAAGCTATCGTCCACCCCACTAAATTGCCATCAAATGGTAGTAAGCCGCAAGATCAGCAAACTCAGACAGCAGGCCACAACCTGAGTCTGTGACAAGACGGCTCTCAGCAGTGCGCACATGGAATGGAGCCTCAGTCTCATCTCTCCTCTGCCTTAGATACTGAGACAAGGACACCCTCAGGTAAGTTTTCCTATGTCTTAAAACACTAATTTAGTGCAGGCATGAAGATTTATCAACATATAGACTATATAAAAAGGGCAAGTATGGGTACAAAATTTCTTTCATAAAATCCAGTTATGTTCAGTCTTGGAGACAGCCAGGGAGAACATTGCATCTAGAGTATTTGAGAACGAAAGAAGAACCTGAAAATCAGACAAATAAAATTTGTAGCTTTGAGTGGCCAAATAAAATGAAAGCGGCTCTGTTCAGATCAAGGCTACAACCAGGAAGTAACTGGGAACAGACACAGATTTGTCATAGCCAGGTAAAAACTCGGAAGTCACCCATCCATCCGAATTGACCGAACACTGCACTCTTTTCCTAGGGCTGGGGTAACGAAGCACCATGAACTGGCTGACTTAGAACAACAGATATTTATCGTCTCACAGTTCTGGAGGCTGTCTCGCAATTCTGTCAAAAATCAAGGGGCTGCTGGGGCCAAGCTCCCTCTGAGACGTGTAGGGGATCCCCCTGGCCTCTGCCCAGCCTCTGGTAGCTGCTGGCCATCTGGGGCGCTCCTTGCTTGCAGTTCTAGACCTCCAATCTCTGCCTTCATAGGCATGTTGCTTTCTCGCTGTGTATCTCTGTCTTCACGTCTTAGAAGGACACTTATAAGGCCCACTTTACTCCGGTAATAACTTACCTTAACTAATTTCATCTACAGCGACTCTATTTCCAAAGAATTTCACATTCTGAAGAATACTGGGGGTTAGGACTCGAACATATCTGTTTTTCAGGGGAGACGCGTTTCCATCCGTGACGAGCACCTGTGATGTAACATCACCGTGCTAGGGGCTGAACAGCACAATTCCTGCTCGCAAGGTAATTGCAGACAATACTTTCAACTGTGCCATGAAGGCGTTTGTATAGGCTGCAATCAAGAGACCTGACAAGGGACCCTTAATTCAGACTCGGGGGGGTGTGTGTCTCTAGGGGAGACTCAAAGATGTCCCAGAGGCGACAAGCTTGTTCCTCCTAGTGGTGGTCACCAGAAAGCAACAGACACAGGATGGGGATGAAAGCTTTTGAGGCGGAGGAAGCTGGGTGTGCCAAGCCCTGGAGGCTGCTGCATTGCTAAGCAGTAGTTCTTCAGGACGAGTCTTCGGCCTGGACCCCGCTGGCAGGCGAAGCTACAACCGTGGGGTGAGCTCCACAGAGACTGGAAGAAAGGAGCCCAGGGGGCAGGAGAAATCAGCAGCTGGGCCAGGTCCACCTGTGCCTTGGCTTTGCCTCGTTTTGCTCCTGGCATGTGAATCTTGCCTCTTATAAGCCTATGAAGTTCTTATTTGGGGACAGGATTTCTACCTTTCACTTGAATTTTAGGTCTCACATAACATCACGGTTATTGAAAGAAAACTAATTCAGGATGCTTGCAAAAACGAAGCTGAATTTCATAACACCTGTCAAACTTGCTAGGGACTGGATAAAATAATGTCTGTAGATAAGGACCGGGGATGTTTTTAATGTAGGTGTTCAGTGTTGGTTTCTTCTCCAACTTTCCCATTACACATGTGCTCAACGGGAATCAATGGCTCCCGTACTGTGATTACACAGCACTTTGTACCTTTATTAAGGTATGGATCTTACTTTCCTTGTTTTATCTCATAGTTGCTACCATGACTCTTTCAGGGTATTATCCTTCTTTTTATCCTTCTTTAGAGCCTAGCGGTGCCTTGCAGATGATACTCCATGAGGTTTTGTTACGCTGAATTGATTGAGTCACAACATGTGAATGAAACTATTGCTCTAATACACAATTATTGGCCTAAGGGGGAAATTTAAAAAAAAAAAAA